GCAGCAGCAGCAGTAATAGTAATCTTTAATGAGGATACCAACATCACAGTAAAGTGGTTTAGGGTACTGAACCACATCACAGTACACAACATTACAGTAGAGTGGTTCAGAGTACTAAACAATGTTTACAGTATTCCCCCCCCCCTATATTTTTATATTCTGGCTTTATAGGGACGCAATTTTACTGTGTTTGAGTCAATCGCGTTTGTTTGTGTCACAGAGTGTTCTCCGTCCCATCCCTGCCAAGGACTCGGCCCGCATGCGCACTTCAGGGATTTTGGCACTGCCATGTTGACTTTGTTTAGAATAGCAACGGGAGATAACTGGAATGGAATATTAGAGGTAACAAAATATATATTTGACTAATAAGTATGTCACAAATTATTGTCAGTAGACACTTGAGAGACTTTATGATTTTTGAACTTGGCTGACATCTTTGTTCAGTTTGCTGACGTCTTCGTTCAAGACTCCAGTTTAGAAGTTGTTAAATGAAAACCCAATACAGCACAGTTAGCAGCTGAAATTTTGCGAGAGGAAGCCATACCAGCCTCAGCTGGTTTTCATGCAGTCCTCTATCCTGGTCGAATAGAGTCCTAAAGTGACGACGTCACAAAAATAAAAGTTTTGAAATTATGGGATATGATGTCATATTCTTATAGAGGATCCTAAAAGATGCCCTCATCCCAAAAATTAGCTCTGAATTACAATTCCCGATGAGATATAAGGGATCAAAGTTTGATAGCATCCCATACAAACCCTTCAAAATTTGTTTCAGTTTCTTCAGTTTAGAACTGACTCAAAATTAGAGAGATTTATATGGGGCAGTACCAAATTTTCATCCTTTATATTTCGGCTGGGAATTACAATTAAGAGGTAATTTTTGGCAAAGACCCTTCGTTGAGGACGCTCTATCCGAAAATGGCGCCAAATCCCATAATTTCTCAAATTTATTTTTTTTGTGACGTCACACGGAGAAGAACCCTCCGAGCAAGGCGAGAAGCAACGACAAACTCAACCCACATATGGCACCGGGCCGGGATCCAAACCGGGTTACATTGGCGGGAGGCAAGCGCTCTCATCACCGAGCCATCCCTGCTCCCCATTCTTATCATCTCCCGTAGATAAATCACCAGTTTGCTCTTTGCTTGTTTTCTCGCTTTCCAGACACTCTTAGCTAGAGCTACGAATCTTTGGCCTTTACCTACAATATGGTGCGAACAAATTTATTCCGCTTATGAAATATGAACTCCATTTTTTTCCAGGACACACTCCGTTCTGAGCGCTCCAAGGCAGCCGAGTGCGAAAAATACTGCTCCGTCAGCAAATACACTGCAACGCTGTTCTTCGTAACGTTTGTACTGGCGGCGCAGTTTGTTCTTGTCAATGTCGTCATTGCTGTTCTTATGAAGCACTTGAAAGAATCCAAAGAAAAGATTGCGGCAAATATGGCCGCTAAAGACTTGGAAAAGAAGCTGAAACTGCTGACTATATCGGCGAAGAATTTCATTCGAGCGAGAGCCAAGAAAAGCGAGCAGCCGATCTCGAGGCGACGATCTATTGTGCAGCTCGGCTTGGGAGGGATTGAACTGGCTCAGTTGAAACACTGCACTCCCGTGAAAACAGACAATACATCTTTTCGCGCTGAGCTTGCTAGAGCTGATGCGATTTTTCAAGAATTTTTGCGTTTGAACGCAAACCTGCAAAAAGTAAAGATGACCATCGTCCGTACTGCGTCACACAACGTTCAAGTCACGCCGGTTGAGGTCACGCCTACTGGACGTCAAAGACGTAATACTGTGTGCGGAGTAAGGGATCTTCACAATAGCACGTCAAATTAAAATAAATTTACCGTATACAAATCAGGAACTAAGGTGTAACTCAAGATGTAAATATTAGAACTCGTACGTTTTAAAGGATATCTCACTTTAAATTAAATTTCACGACAGGCAAAAAATGGGCAATGAAGGTCTTAGTGGGGTGGTGACTTTTTCGGCTAACGGTTAATATTTTGGCTCTTTGTTAAGGCTAACAGTTAATTCGTTTTCTTACGATCAACAGAAATCTTAGAAATTAATCACCATTGCTTAAAAAAGTTAGAAATTAATTTTCATTGTTAAAAAAGTTAAAGAATTATTTTGTTAACTGTAAAAGATTTTTAGGCCATAGGACCATTCCGGTATGAAAAAGGTTTTAAGGTTTTATTATAAGAATTGTAGACTAATAAAGCTTACTATTAAGTCTCTCTGCTCTTCCTGTACAACCAAGCCACAAGACAAAAAATTCTTGACAACAGATCTAAAGACTTTTTCTTTCTTCTTTATTTTGGTAGTAGGTGGAAGGAGCTGATGGTAAAAGTTTTTGAAAATACAAGACGCTTTGCTGCGTGTACCCAGGCAGTCTTAATACTGAGAAGTAATAGCTATATTGCAATTGAGCTAAATGTTCTGCATTTGAAGTGTGCTTAAGCTATTCTGCTTTTGATTGCATTTCTCGGAATCGATTAATAGCTTATTACTCGTTTGCAAGTCTTTAGGGTGTGAAATGAGTCAAGGTCTTTATCTCAACCTATAAACGTTTCAGTCTATTTTCCTTAGCCTTTGTCGTTGTTATTTGCGTTTCTCAAGCAAGCGAGACATTTTGAATTTCATTGTTATGGCGATGCGTGACATGGACTTACGAACGCGGTTGTCGAAATCATATACTTATCTCGTGATTTTTAGCCCATTTAGAAGTTAAAGTATTAG